GCTTGCATCAAAGGGGTTCCCTTGCTGACCAAACATTTACCATAAAATCTGGCATCTATCGCCATATCCACTTACCCCCTCTTACCCCACTTACACCAGTGCTTGTTGGTGAAATGTTTCTCAAAAAGCCCCCTACGCATATACAGATGCATTATTAGGACAGTCACCTGAGGCCACTCACCAGTCAGAACCACAGCCCACTCCATTCCACTCTAAAACAATAGAGAATACAAATGCTGCCTGTTTTATTGCCACAAATGGTTCAAAATTATAATAATTTATAATTTACCAAACGCTTCCCCAAAGTTATTGCTAATTCTCCCCATCCTAATCTTTGAACATATTAAAATTCAACAAGTTGAGCAAGTGCCAGTTTGGCGCTAATGTTTATATTAGGTACTTTCATATGTATTTCCCATTGAACATTCAGAATAACTCCCTACAGTTACTATTATTTATATGTGTAAAGACCCAAATGCTTAAGAGGTTAAGAAACTTGCCAAAAATCATTGAAGTAGAAAGACTTTTTATTTCTGCAACTCAAATCTAATAATCTTCAAAGCCACTGTATTGGTTTGCATTTAACGAAGTAGCTTAGCACTTTATAAATCCAACTATTTGTGTTGTTTTTTTTTTTAATTTATAACATCTTCTCTTATTGGGACATTGTAAGTTATTTGAGAACATCTGATACTTCTGTTTAGTTGTGTGTTGTTACAAAACAAATTAACTCAACACCCTAGAGATAAACTGTAACCATTTTTTTATTTCCCAATTTTGTGGAGCAGGGATTCAGGCAGGGCTCAACTGGACAATTCTTCTCCACATGATGTTGATTACAACCTGGAAGTAGCGCTGTTCACTTGGAAGATGTGCTGCTCTGGAGAGTCTGAGAGGTTTCACTCTTATGGCTAGTGCCTTGGTAGGGGTGGCTGGCTGGACAGACAGACTCAGCCAGACAGACTGTCAGTCAGGTCACCTACAACTGGAATCTCTAATGTGGCACTCTTAAGAAGTCAAGTTTTGCACACAGTAGCTCAGGGTTTCCCAGAGACAGGAAGTGGAAGCTGCTCATTTCATAAACTGACATAACATCACTTGTGCCACGTTTAGTTGATCAAAGCCGTTTGCAGAGCCTGCCTGATTTCAAGGGAAGACAAGAGAGATCCTACCTCTCAACAGGAGGAGTGCCAAAGAAATTATAGCCATCCTTAATGTGCCACAGCTTCTTCCAGATTTTCTAAATATATACTCAGTACATGTAAGTGGAAAGAGATAATAATTATATTTTAATAGCTACCATTTTTAGTGCCTCCAGATGGCCAAGCTTACTCTAAGGCAGATTTTCTCCAACTCAGCACACTGTTGACATTTTGAGCTAGATAATTCTTTGTTGTGAGGAGCTATCCTGTGTATTGTAAGATGTTAAGCAGTGTCTTTTGCCTCAACCTGCCAGATACCAGTGACCTCTCCCTGAAGTTATGACAATCAAAAATTTCTTTAGGCATTGCCAAATGTCTCATAAAGGAAAGATGGCCCCCACTGGAGGTCTCCTGCTCTTTGTTAAGCACTAAACACAGGGATATGTTCTGATATAATAGATAAGTCTCAGTAAGGTATAAAACAGATAGTATGATTAATCCCATTTTATAGAGAGGTAAACAAAAACCCAGAGGGTTAAGTGGCTTATCCATGGTCACCTGGGTCACTCCCCAGGAAAATTTCATGTCTGTTTAAATACAATGTATGAAATCTTTCTAAAATGCCATTGATTTCTATTTTCTACTCCAAAATTTCCAGAATCCAAATAGATCCCAGGAGCTGAATAACCAGCTCCAAAGTCAGAGGCAAAACCCCAGCCACACAGGTCCAGCTCTGTGGCTGCATCCCTGACTGATGCACCAGGGGGTCTGGCTGGACTCTCCAGCTGATTTAGGTCATCTCCAGCACAGAAAGCATTGATCCACACAAAATTAGCAGGCGCTTCTCTTCTCTGCCCTGCTGTTTGCTTACAGAGGGGATTCAAGCCTCATTTGGATCTGCGCCTGACTCTGGGCTGCGTGCCAGGCCTCGGTGCAGGGACCGCTGGGCACCGCACTCACCTGGTGTGCAGTCTGTTTCAGGACACAGCCTCAGTCTCTGCTGCTGCTGGTACCCTGAAAGATGCAACGTGCCCTGCATTTGCCCTGGATTAAAGATGCCACTGTGGCTGGTGCAGACGTGTCCTGGGCCCCTTCTTTTCAATCCTCCCACTGGCTTTCTTCATGGGAAGCCAGTGACCCACATGACCACATACCCCAGCCCCGTCCTGAGGGAAGACAAATATGCAATTGACAATTAGGAAGTGGAGCATCCATCTGGGGACACAAAGAGAGGAGTGGTGAATCCTCCTTGGAAGAGTGGCTGAAGCGGGTGTTCCAGGGAGTCCTTCTAGAGGGAAACACGTAGCATTCTCCAAGCAGAGCAAGAGGGAATAGGACATTTCATGCAAGAAGGCTCTCATGTGAGAAGACAAAGACGCTCTAAGTGGCAGGGATATCCTGAGGCCACCAAAATACAATCAGAAGATAAGACAGTGAATCTCAAAAAGAAATGACCAGGGGCTGAGGAGGAGGAGCTATGTCCGTCTTTGAGATCTGCACACACAAAGATTTCATTTAGCACCTCTAAGCTGTGTCGTTTGTAGAGGGGCAAAAGTGATGGCAAGGGACAGGTGAAAACCAAATGGAAATTTGTTCAAATAGTATACAGTTTAATCATTCAACAAGTATTAATTGAGTGAACGATTGGTTTCCAGAGTCCCCACTAGAAAGCCCAAATGGAGTGGTGAATAAACTTGACATTTTCCTGACATACGTCGATCCCCTGTTCTGATGGGCACGACAGATATTAAACGATAGGCATCATTAATCACATAATTAAAATGAAGGGTCCAGGGCGGGGAAGCTACTAGAGGGTAATGCACAGTGGAGCAGCCCAACGCAACCTGGGGGTGGAAAGCAAGCAGGATGGGGGCAGCTGCCCTCTTCTGTCGGAGATCTCAGGGCCCCAACAGGACAGTGAGTTGGGCAGGATTAGGGACCCTGTTACAGGTGCAGAAAAGACGTTTTAAGGTAGAGAGTCAAAGCTCCGCCTTGAGACAAGGTTACCCAGGCTTACAAGTGAGCAGTGGCCGCAGGATGAGAAGGTCGGGAGGTGGAGTCCAGAGGAGGCAGCTTGGCTCTGCCTGCTCATGCGAGTGATTTGGCCATTACCTGGAGGACCAAGGTATTATCATGGAGTCTAAAGTCTCAGTTCCTCCTCACCAAGGTGCTCTGGTTTATTGAACTTTGTGAACAGAGCCAGCTAGCAAGGTGACATTGTGGCAGAGATGGAGCCTTGCTGCTCCTTGCATCAGAAAAGCCGAGACAGCCTCTCTGGCAGTGACACAAAAGAAGCCTGCGTGGGACATGACTCAGCTCAACAATGCTCCACCACTGGCCCTAAAAATGAGGCAAGGCAGCAGCAACACGACCTGAGACCGTGCCCCCAGCAAGCCACTGCCCCACAGGGAGGCTGCCAGCCGGGCAGTGCCAGCTCTTTCATGAATGCAATGATATGCCCAGGGCATAAGCACAGGACCTAAGCACAGAACCGGCTGGCCTGGGTAGTCTTTGTATCCTGGCCACGTGTGGCACTGATCTCTGTCACCTGGACAGTTGCCCCGAGAGCAGGCCCTTGACTGGCTAACTCATGCTGCATGACCTTCAAATAGCTAGGTGACAGTGACTCTGAGCTGAGGAGAGAGGAAGAAGTTTGTGCAAATGTAAAGATGTCTTTCCCGTCAGCCTCTGACAGATGGTTTAGGACCCAGTGCCAAGGACACAGGTGGAGGAGTCACCTGATGAACTTGGAAGTTTGGTCCTGCCCCTCACAGCCACGTGAGCAGAACCTGTCTGCACCTCAGTGTCCAGCTAAATGGAGGAGGGGACAAGGAGATGGAGCTAACTGACATTAGACCAGGATGGATCTCATCTGGCTTTGCCTCACTCACTACCACATGTGAGACCGGTGTGCCGATCCTGTCTTACATGTGACCGTGACACCTCCCTCAAGGTGAGAATCACGAAGCAATATCGATGAGTGCTTAGTGACCCAGCCTATCCTTGTTATAATTATTATTATGCTAAATGCTATCCCCATTACACAGATGAAAAGCCTGAGGCTGGGAAGCCACATAGCAGGGACCTGACTCCAGCTCTCCCTAGTTTCAAAGCCCCTGACCTGAATCACAGAAAAAGACTGCCTTCTTATTTCTATCCTCATCCCCAGATGTTGACTGAGATCCATAGAAAATGGGTTCAAAGGGGGAAAAAAAAGAACTGAGTCCAATGATTCTTGAACACATAATTTAATAATAATTAGTTATTAAGAAAGTACTCAACTAAAATAATGTATTTACTTAAAATTATTCTCTAAATATTTATCAAGGGCTATTTATATGCTAGTCATTGCATTTCTATGGGACATTAAAAAAAATTAGCATGAAGTCTTCCTACCCACAGTTTATAGTCTAATAAATACATGCAGAAATCATTCTAGTGGTCGTGGGAGTAGTAAATAATACTCATAATGCACCGATCTATACTGATGTGTACCATATTTCAGATGTAATCCTCAGCATCTTGTATGCATTATCTCTTTAGCATTTAGAATAATTCTCTGAGATGATAATTATTACTCCAGTTCTACACAGAACAGAGCAGAGCTCAGCAAAGTTATATAATTTGGCCAAAATTATATAACTCAGAAATGGGACAGAACCAAGAAGCCAGCCCAGGTCCGTGTGACCCAAATAAATGCCCATAGCCATTGTTGGCTCTCCCTGGTCCTTCCTGACCAACCTCTCTACTTACAAATAGGAAACAAACTCGTTTCGCTAAATGGCCTTAATAAAGAGCAGAATCCTACCAATCAGCAATAACGGACAATGATACCAAATAAAATCTCAGGAACTCCAGTTTGACTTTGCAGTTCACTATTTTATTCTCTCAGCTGTAGTCTTCCTCCAGGAACAAGGGCAGGTCCCAGGCCGCGAAGACCCTGCTCACGCTGCAGCTCACACCAGCCTTTCATCTGGGGCAGCAGACTAACTCCTGGCTTTCCCCAGGCTCATGCCACCATCCTGCCACTTCAAGCAGCCCTTAATCAAATATTGATGACAGTTTCCTTCTTCTTCAAAACGGCATATTTGAATGCCATTATCAAGGGATAAAATAACAAGGTTGTTTCTTTTTTGTCTTTTTTCTTCCAAGTCGTTGGAAGACATCTGAGCCACACATAGACAGGTTTGAGGTCACCTGAAGGACAGAATTGGGGACGATGTTGAGAACAGGAATTCACTGTAGTAAATGGATGCTTCCTCCTCAAGAGCCCACGTAGGTGACATCTTTGCAGAAGCACCACTCTCTTGCTCATCGTCAGCAGAGGGAGGAATATGCTTTCTCACTAGACTCAAGGCCTTGGGGTGATTGACAACCTCTCCACCTTCTATCATGCAAACACTGCCCAGGGCTGCTTGCCAATCCACCTCTCCCACACAAAATGATGCCTTCATTATCAATTCCATGTCCCCCATCTGTGAACCCTGTTCAGGTCCCAGGTCAGAATTCGCCTTATTCATGAAGCCTCCTGACCACCCAAGCACTTCTGCCTTAGCACCCTGCCTCCTTCTGGGTCATGACCTAGCACATCTGTCTTCCCAGCGGACAGGCAGCAGTATGGACAGGCTTTATCTAGACCTACTTTGTCACCCTATTCATCAGTGGAAAACTAAACAGCATACACTCTAGGGTGTCGGGCAGCTTTGTGTCACTGTGACCAAAATACCTGACAAGAACATCTTAGAGAAGGGCAGGTTTATTTTGGCTCACAGTTTCAGAGGTTCAGTCTGTGGTCAGCAGGTTCCAAGACAGAAACATCATGGTGGAGGAAATCTGCTCAGCTCACTATAGCCAGGAAGGGGGAGGGAGAAAGAAAGAGAGCGAGCCAGAGAGATGGAGACAGATAGAAGGGAAGACATAATCCACAGGTGTACGTCCCCAGTGTCCCATCTCCTCCAGCCATGCCCCAGTAAATCCAATCAAATTATTAATCCATCAATGGATTAATGCACTGGTAAGGTAGATCCAATCACTGCCTAAAATCCGTGCCTCTGAACCTTGCTGCACTGGGGATCATGTTTTCAACACATGGTCTTTTGGGGGCCCACTCCAGATCCAAAGCATAACAAGGAGATAGTCAATGACCCTGGAAGCAAAATATTACAGATCACCATATCACCTAGGAAGGAAAGCGTATTGGAGATGGAGTCGTGGACGAAGGGACGTGGCAACCAACTCAGACAAGTGATCCAAAAGTGCTCTCAGAGGAGGCCGAATTTAAGCTGAGGCCTAAAGGGAGAGATCGATCCAGTCCCACAATAGACTAGGCCAAGAGAAGCAAGCACGAAATTCCTGCTATGAAAAGAGCTTGATGTCGACAAGAAAATGGGCAGAGGCCAGTATGGTGGGAACGGTAAGAAACAGCTGGAAACAGCTGAGCAGAGTACAGAAGAGACATGGGCCAGGCAAGACAGGAGGGAGCCCGCAGGTCACAGGTAGTCCAGAGTTTGGGTTATTCTAAAAGCAATAAGAAGTTTGTTATGGTTTAGATATTGTCTTTCCCCTCCAAAATTTAAAATTTAGTTCCCAGTGAAATGGTGGTGAGAGGTGGTGGGATCTGCAGGAGGAATTTGAATCATGAGGATTCTGCCCGAATGAGGAGACTCGTGCCGCTCTTGCAGGACTGAGTTAATTCAGGAAAGCCAGTGACCCTCACTCTTGTGGGACTGGATTAGTTACCTCCAGAGTGAGTCGTTATAAAGCAAATGGGTCCCTAGTGTTCTGTCTCTTCTGCATGCATCCACTGGACCTTTGGCAGTTCTGCCATGTTGCACTGCAGTCCTCACCAGAGGCCAGGAAGGTGTTGGTGCCATTCTCTTGGACTTCCCAGCTTCCAGAACTGTGAGCTAAATGTGCTTCTTTTCTTTATGAGTTACTCAGTCTCAGGTTTTCTGTTGTAGCAACGGAAAACAAAGACATAGTTATCGAAAGGCTCTTGGTGGGGAAGTAACTTTATTTGATTTATGTTTTGAAAGGTTGTTCTGATATTTATGTGTGGGGGGGCATCTAGATTTAAGGGTAAAGAGGGACAAGAATAGAAATTGAGCATTGGGGGACTCTTGTCCCATTGCCAACCACAAATGACTGATACAGCAGAGGTGCTCCACAAAAACACTTGGAAGGAAATGAATGGATGAGTAAGTGCATAAGTGAAAGAATGAGTGAGTTAAATCACCCTGGGCTTTAGCAAAAAGTGTGACCCACCATTTCTTTCTGTCTGGTTCTATTTTATCTCCCATCCACCCTTAGCACCAGCAACACTTGATTTATTCAGAAAAAAAAAAAAAGGGTAAAAAGTGCATCCTGAAACTTTTTCACCCATCTCAGGCCCAGATTTCCCATGTCACAAAAATCACCATCTTGTCCTGGCAACATTTTATCATGTTTAACATCGTTTTTTGCCACTGTTCTTCATTCCTGTGAACAGAACACAGCCTCCTGTTTCTGGCAGGAGAAAAAAAAAAAAAGGCAAGTTCTGCTTCAATCAGACAGAGAAAGAAACGGGAAGGGAAGGGGGGACTTTGATGAGGACTTTCATCCCCTTTCAGGAAGCTGGCTGAGGGCCATGCTTGCAGGCTTGACATTAGACCTGAAAACCTCAGCTCCCCCAGGGAAGCCAGGAGGGGCGGGCTCTTGGCACACGGAATTCCCAAACAGCACAAATATCCGCTTTTCCTCAGCAATCTCCTGCTTTATTAGCTAAGCTGCTCCGAAGCCCAGACGGGCGCATTTCATGCCGAGTTTAGGGTGAAAGTGATTTGGCAGGTTACATTCCCAGGGTGCTCCGGAAAAGAGACAAGAGGCTGTTGAACGCAAGCCATGCTGGATGCTTTCCTAAAGCAGCAGGAATCAGCTGCTTTGACAGTGGGGTCTGCTAACAGATGGAAAATTCTTCAAGGGGAACAGAGGCTGAGGGAACCGAGGAGGTGCGGAGCACTCCGTGTGGATATGATTCCAACAGAGCGTTTCCCCAATATCCTCTACCTTCTGTAAGGACCATTCAAAAGGACACAGAGGTAATCCTCCGATAGACAAACTTTAAAAAAATGTAAAAACAATAAAACTAAATGGATTTTCAAGCTAGAAAGGAACTTCATAATCAACAGTTTCTCCTTTCTCCAGGGAAAATTGACACAGCAGGTTGAGAAGTAACTTCCCAAATTCACTGAGCTGCGTTGGAACAGATGCCCCAGGTAACCAGACTCCACTCTGTCTAGCCCCTTCCTGATGCCATACCTTCTTGCTCAGGGGCAGAATAAAGAGATGATTCATGACCATTTGGATCATTAGTAAGTCAAAAAGACTTATGATCCTACAAACCTCTAATGGAATCTCTGAATGACACTCACTAGATCTATGACCCTTGATACTGTCTCCTCCAAGGAAATAATTGAACATAGTAATAATCCCTACCTCACAGATTTAAATGAGATAATGCCTGCAATGTCTGCACACATAAATTATGTTCCTGTGTGTTCACCAGATATTTTACTTCCTTGTGGATATTGAGGGCAACTGTTTTCAAGCTCTTCTGCACCTGGGTTGGGCCATATGACTAATCTGGTCAATGGAATGTAGGCAGAAGAATGTGCCTCTTTGGTATGAATCTGGAATGTCCCCTAAGACTTGGGTGTTAAAGGTTTGGTCCTCAGTGTGACAATGTTCAGAACTGGAGCTTGTGGGAAGTGATTGGATCCTCAGAGCTCTGACCTCCTTGGTGGATTAACCCATCGGTAGCTGAATGGAGTCCTGGGAGATGGTGGAAACTGCAGGCAGCAGGGCAAAGTTGCACAAAGCAGGTCACTGGAGACGTGCCCTGGAAGGGTGTTTCTTGTCCCCAACCTTCCCCTCTCTGCTTCGCAGCTGCCATGAGCCGAGCAGCTTTCCCCCACTGTGCCTCAAGCCCAGAGCAATGAAGCCAACTGAACACACATTGAAAATCTGAAACTATAAACCAAAATATTTTCTTCTTCCTTTAAATTGTTAGTGTTGAAGTATTGTCACAACAACAAAAAGCTGACTACACAGTGCCCAATGCCAGTAGTTGCTTGTGAAACACTGTATTTCCACTCCTTCTGGACAATGGTGCCACTTTGTAGATGCCAGTGTCACAGGAGGTTATGTCCTTGAATTGCTATTTGGAAAGAGTTGACCAATCAATACTATCCACACTGGATTCTGTAAGAGAAAAACCTTCCTGTGTTAAAATATAATTTAGAGGATTGTTTGTTATAGCAGCAGCTCATCTTTACTCTGATTAATATAGAAAGCATCCATGGAATAGTAACAATCATAAGTGACACATTTTTAGTTATTCAGAATCTATACCAGCTATGGATTCTTATAATCAAAACTCATTTCTAGTACTGAGCACTGACAGCCAACATCAACCCTGATAAAAGGCATCCTCTAATCCTGAAGTGTCTGGCAAGAATTTAACTGTGTTCCATATACTCTGGCTGCAGATATGTATCTATTGTCTTTTTAAAAAATTTTTTTTTTAATTCTTTAGGGAAAAACAACAGCAAGTGAGGGTAATTCTCATTTTATAAATGCTCTTATTTCTTAAGTACTTACTGAGCTCGAGACATTGTTCTAGTATTATCTCTCAGGTTGCCACCAGCTATTCCCGTGATAGCCCCATAAGACTGTGAGGTCACTGTTATTCCACGCATGGACTCCCACTCCCCATCTTTCTCTTCTTCCATCCTCGGTATGACGCCTACTCTACCTTGGCTCAAGCCCTCTGCCATCTACCTCACTGGCTCCCATGCTTTCTTCCCTCACTGGCTCCTGTGTGGCTTTTCCTTCCTATCACTGTTTATCCTGGCACTCCAGAGCCTCATGCTTGGTAGAAAAGGTGCCCCTTACCTGATGCCATTGGGTTCCCCTTGCCTCCAGGATGGAGCACACTCCGAGGCAGACCTTCCGAGCCCAGGGAAGCAGCAGGCCTTGAAAGCTTTCGTAACAGCCGTCCATCCAGTATTCTCACCTGTCTCATGTGCTTGGGGTCCGTGGGTTGAGCCCCTCTCCACCCTCCACCACAGTCGCCCTCACTCTGTTCCAGCATCCTGATCTCTCCATTCACAGAAGAAAGGGCTGGGAGGCAGTCTTCATTTCCACCTGGATTTTCTTACTCCAGCTCTGATTCTGAGCCTTTCTACGTCAACCTGCCTCTTTCTTACAGGGAACAGCCAGTTCCCTACTTTTTCCTCCTCAACTCAAATTCAGCAAGAAAGTCAGATTCTAGATTAAATAAGCTTGCAAAGCTGTGTCTTTGTGTTTGCTCTCCGTGCAGACCACTGGTGCAGGACAAGCACCTGAGGAGGCCCTGAGCACGTGGCCATGGAGGAAAACCATCAAACTCCTTGCTTCCTTGCAGCCGCAGGGAGCCAGGATCAGGGAAGGAGACCATGGTGCCTCCAGCCTGGAAGTTATAACTGAGATTGGTTTGATGGCACAGAGGACACACCCTTTTGAAAATTTCTCCAAATGAGGGGCCTTTTCAAGTTGCTCATTGAGCAGTCAGTTAGCAGGGCTGGGAATGTCTGGAGTCATGAATTCCTGGTCCCAATGTGATTGTGACAGGGTTTTAGGCACAGCTTATTACCACATTTAGGTAAGGATGTAAATACAATGATTCCCCATAATATGCAGGTACTTGGTCTTTTGGAGCAGGCCTGGTGACTGATGGGCTTGGTGTAAAATGCAAATTCACATTTTGTGGAAAGTGTGAAGTTCATTCATCTAAATCATTTCTGTTACAGTCTATGACGGCTTCGGAAAATTGCCTGGGTAGGATTTTTATTTGATCTTTCAACATTATTGGAGGTCCTATAAACAGGATTATATGAAGTCTTTCACTGTCAATTAGTGTAATTTTAAATCAACCTTCTGTCAACGATGTGCAGATTTCACAGGGCAAGGAGGAAGAGAGAAGATCTGGTTTCTCCCTTCAGTGGATTTGTCTGGCTTTTAGTTACTGCTTACATAGAAAGCAAGGGAGAGGAGGGGAGGTGGAAAGGAGGAGAGAGAGGGAGGGAGGGAGGAATAGGAAAGGAAAGGCAAGAAAAGGGAGAGAGAAAAGAATGGAGTCGGGGGAGGAAAGAAGGAGAGAAAGAGCAAGTTAGCTTCTCACAAGGTGCCTGAAAAAATTCATCTAGTCCTTGAGTTTATCTTAAGAAACAAAAACGTAGAGTTATTAAAAGGTTAAGAACAATTCATTTTATGTGAAATTGGATGGCTAAATGGTCTTCTCATGGTATAATCTAAAATGTGACTCTTTCTGAGCCTAATGTGCAGCAGACATTTTTCACTAATAGATTCAGTGACGGGCACTAATTGTTTTATGGAAATAAAAAACATCAAATTTCATGTATTGGGGGAATACTGGCCCTATTTTTAAGTTTAATTTGACCTTCAAGGATTTATGAGCGTATCTGGGACAATGCTTTCCATAAGTCTCTATAAATATGAGGAAGAACTCTCTTCATTTGAAAATCTTCATAACCGCGGGATTAAATTTTCATCCCTTTTACAACTCCACAGGAAACCTCCCAGCAATGGACAAGGAAAGTCTTAGTGTCAAGCAAATTATCTCACTCATGGCTACAACATCCTTGTAAAGGCTGTGCTATGTTTCAAGCTAATTGAAGTTGGAAAGAGTCAATAGATGAAATAAAATAATCCAATGAAGAAGCACTTTTCTGATCTGGTTGTCTCTGATCTACCAGACCAGCTTATTTCAAAACGGATGCTTGAACTCCAGAGTAGACTCCGCCAGAATAGATTCTCCTCTGTCTACAGTCTGACCCACTGGGATAGAGTCCCAGTTCTGCTTCCTTTTGTGTGATCTCTAAGTCTCCATCCACACAGCAGGGAAATCCCATTTTCTATCCCGCATTGTGGTGAGCACTAAATCCTAATGAACGGACCATGATTAACACCATAACTAACATCCTATCATCAGTGTCAACGTCGCCTTCGTCCACCACAAAGGTTTCAGGATTAATTCTAGGTCCGATCTTGCCTCCTTTAAATCCATTCTTAAACAATGCAGCCAGAATGAACCTTCCAGGATGTGAACTTGGTATATCACGTCTATGGTTAAAAGCATTCAGTGTTGCTCCATTGTCAAAAGAACAGCGTCCACGATCCCTGAGGAGGAGGCGGCCAGGCCTCTCTCCATCAGGCCCTGCACCTCTCCATCCTCTCCCCTCACTCCCCCTGTTTCCTGTCCCTGATCTGAACTTCCAGCCACACAGGGCTATTTGATAATCCTAAGCATTTCCTTCCATTCACTCACCCTCCTGTCTATACTTCTCCATGCCGAAACATTCTTTCCATTCTTGTCTCCAAAAGGTTAGATTAAAAAAAAAAAAAAAAGTTCCTTTCTTGAAGCAAGAAACTCCAGACTCAACGATGCACAGGAGAAGGGAAATTAATGTGCTCCAGTGCTGTTGGAAGAGGAGCAGGTGCCAATTTCCTTAGCAAGGAGAGGATCCATTATGAAAGCAGTCCTGCTGCTTTGCCGTCCCCGTTGTGGCCTATTTGCTCACACTGTGAACGCAGTCATGATCTAAGCACTCCCAAAGTCAGCCTGGCCGGCGTACAGCACATCTTAAAAAGCATCTGCAGCACAGACTGAACCCGCACTTTAAAAATCCTGGGAAGTGATAAACATATGATTTTGCTTAAGTACTTACGTGGCGGCTGCAATTAAAGTTGAGGATAGTGTCTCCTAGTGCCTTGCTAAACCGCACTTGTTCACACAGGCAGAAAGAGAGTGACTTCTCCATAGCTTTCCTAAGTGGAGAAAAGAATAGGACAGGCAGCAAAATATATATCATCTCTGTTTGTGATTGTGGGAGTTGGGGGCTACTACCGCTGGTCTTCTAGAATCCATCAACACCTGTGCTCTCCATGGCCCAGCTACCCTGTGTCTTTTTGTTTGTTTTGTTTTGTTTGGGGCTTTTTTTTTTATTAATCTATTGTAGTTACATAGAATATTGGGGCTCATTTTAACATAATTATATAGCAAGGAATATAATTTGCTCAATTCAGTACCCAGTCCTTCCCTTTTCCCTCCTCTCCTCCTACCTGCTATTCTCATTCCTCTATTCTGGTCTTTCTTCTATGTATTGAAACAGTTTTTAAACAAGTGCATTATCAATACACATGAAGGTGAATTTACTGTGACATAGTTACCTACATACCTAGGACACTTTGGTTCTTTTCATTCTACTGTTCCTCCCTTTCCTGTCTTTCCTCCTTCATTCCCTTTCCTCTACTCCATTGTTCCCCCTTCTGTTTTATGGGGCCCCACTCTTTTCCCCTTATTTTGGTCTATATTCCCCAGATACCCTTTCTTATCATTCCCTGAGAGAGGGATTTATACAAAAGAAAATGGTGGATGAGAAGTCAAGGGCACTTTGTTTCACTGAGTTCGATTCTTTGATTATTTGGCTGGAGTTTGAAGGACATAGGTCACCAAGGCCTGGGGAGTGTTATCTACTTTTGAAGCCCTGACACAAAACCGTGCTTCTCTGCTTGGCCCCATGAAGAAAGAGACTTAAGTGATGAACACATTGCAGTTGTGTTGGAGCAGTGCAGAATGACAATTCTAAGCAGGAAGTGTGAATCTGGAGGTATAGCGATACCAGAGCTCAAACTGTACT